TCTGTGAACTCTGACTTACCAATTTCTCTTTAATTAATTTCAGTGGTCCTTTCACCCCATGCTAAAAAAAACAAATTCATATGGACTGAATTTAGTTGATTTATTGGATGCACACCTAATTGCAAGAAGTACTAATGGAATTCCTTTATCCCAATTGTCTGGATAGTCTGGATTATAAACCCTCAACATAGTCTTTAAAGTTTGATGCCACCCTTCCAATGTTCCCTGCGATTCTGGATAGTATGCAGTGGATTTGAAATGTTTTATTCCTAAGCCATCCATAACTTCCTTAAATAACTTTGACGTAAAATTTGACTCTTGATCTGATTGTATTTCTATGGGTAATCCGTCTCTAATCTTAAAAATACCAACTCTTCTAAAATCCCTTTAGCCATGATACTGCGTAATGGAATGGCTGCTGGAAATTTAGTAGATAAATCTATTATGGTCAACAAATACGGATTCCCACTGTTTATTTTTGGTAGGGGTCCTACACAATTAAGGCTCCTGCAAAAGTTCCTCAAATGTGGAAATGGATATCAAGGGTGCGAGTTTTATCACTGCCTGAGGTTTTCCAATTACTGGCAGGTGTTATATGTTCAGCAAAATTCAACCACATCTTTATGCAATCCACGCCAATAAAAATGTTTTTTTGTATTTTGGCTTGAATTGTCTTTATTCCCAAATGACCTCCTACTGGTAATTCACGTACTACCCGCAACACCACTTTCCTAATAACCCACTGGTGGTATAATTTGATGAACTTCTGCCCATTTCTCACTACCTGGGTATGTGATGGCTTCCATTTCCTCATCAAGACTTCATTTTTAAGATACTAACATTCTGGGATACACTCATTCTTTTTCTGTGTACGATTTTTGATACAACTGCTTTAGTTTTTCATCTTTCTATTGTAATTCAGATAATCTCTCCGAACTAAAAATATGCACTTTGTCCTCCACCTGTTCTTGCTTTTTTCTCAACCATTTGATCAAACATAGTCTCTGATAATTGAACTTCAATTTCCTGATCTTTATTCTTTGATTTCTCCTCTGCTTCAACCTTGTTAGCATGCACTCAAGAAATATTCCAGGATATACTTATTGTTACCCCTCAGTTGCCTGACTTTCCACTGGCCTTTCAATCACAGTTAGGCATCATTCCCAAATGTGATACAGTTATATCATTATCAACAATAAACTATATGTCTGGAACCGATAATTTCTCTATTACTTCTACCACCACTTCACTAGGCTCTCCAACCTTGCCTTATATACTGCTCTTCTCACCATGAATTCTACATATTATCACTTTTTCTGGCAACATTCCTTCTCAATTACATATCTCCTTGTCTGTCACCAAAGATTAATTTGCTCCCAAGTCTCTTAAAATCTTAATTTCTGTACCTACTCCTCCTGCCATTCATGAGCGAGTAAACCATACCCACGCAAGTAAATTCTTTAGAGAGATGTGGCACTTTCTTCTCAACCAGCCCCTGACCAGGTTGTACATTCTGGTGCAGTCTTTTCACTTCCACTGTGATTTCCTTTACTACCTCAACAAAACTCACTGGCTCATCTTATTTTCCCATATCTGTCCCCCTAGTGTTTTTTTTTTCCCTAAACCACCCACACTGACTTCATGTGGCCTACTTTATGACAGTAAAAACACACGAGCTTTTTTTACTTACCTTTCCCTCTCGTGGGTCTCCTTTATAGCCTATGGTAAACTCTTTACTATCTTCAATGAGAGCTCCTTTTCCCTTACCACTTGAGGATTTCTGTTTCTCCTTAATTTCTATCCCTCATATATTGAAATTGATGTCAGAAGCCAAAATTTGATTTATGAACCAACTCAATCATCTACCATTTCCGCTGCTAATCTTGCAAGATTTCTCACTACTTCAGCAAGTAAATGTTTGAACTCCTCCAAAATAATTGTCTCTTTAACAGCGCCATATGTTTGACCTATTTTCAACGCCTTTATCCACCTATCAAAATTACATTGTTTGATCCTTTCAAACTATGTATGTTTGACTAGTTCCCTTCTTAAATTCTTTAAGCTGTAGGCTTCTGGTACTAGCTCATATGTACTTAAGATGGCTACTTTCACCTCATCATGCTCCCCAGGTACCTTCTCTGATAGTGATGCAAATACCTCACTAGCTCTACCTACCAACTTTGTTTGGATCGACAATACCCAATGGTCAACGGCCATTTCAATCATTTAGTCACTTTCTCAAATTAAATGAAAAAGGCTTCCTCATCTTTCTTGAGCTTAGGCAATGCTTGGAGATATTTAAACAGATTTAAACAGGCCTTTGGCTACAATGGGATTATTCATTCAGCATCCTCGTCACTATTCCTAACTTTCATTTCTACCACCACCATTTAAGTCAACTGAATTTTCAGTTCCAACGTCAAGTTCAAAAACTCTTTCTCCCTCTCTTCTGCTAGGGCCATCCTTTCCTTTTTTTCCCCCCTCTGCTTTTAATCATAATTCAAACTGTTTCATTTCCCTTTTCTCTTCCTTTTTGTTCTGCCAGGGCTATTCTTACTTTCTTTTTGTCCCTTGCCATTGCCTCCAATTCAAGGAGCTTCATGTACCATTACTAAAATTCAATGATTCTGATTGCATTTACAATTCCCAGGAACACAGAAGTATTGCTGCAATTATATCCCCTTTCCTCACAGACATAGGCAACTCCAACTTATTTGCCAATTCCAAAAGCTTTACCTTTCTCACTTTCTGTAAAACACCTGAAGTGTCTTCTTCCACCCCCAGTAAACTCTTAGCAACTGACAGCCATTTTTACATAAGGGACAACCTATTTAAAACAACCAAATGCAACACCCAAAATAAAAAACAAGTCAACACTCACATCACTCACTGCCTTTCAGTCCAATAATCCTAAACTCAAACTGGAGTTAGACATTTCAATCCTGACAAGAGCCCCCAATTTGCTATGGACCAGACCAAATCTCTTCTTAATATATTTTGAAGATAGTCAAGACCCGGACTTTTTCTTATTTTAAAAAAGGTAAGAGTAAGGCTTTACATTCCAAATGCAATTCAATTGGTGAAACTATTGACGTTAAGTAAAACATTTTTATACTACAATTAAAATACAGACAAAATAAAAATCCGAGAACTGGCTTAACTGTAACTCTACCAAAATTCTTTACAAAATATTAACTACTACTAATTAACTGTGCCAATATAGTAACATCACAAACACATCCTTGGCATAGGTAAATTCAGAAAAATAGAATGTTTCACCTGCAATTCTAGCAGCAAGAACAGAACCCCTAGTTTTTAACTGTAACAGAGAGAGGAAATGCAGTTTTCACATCCAGCTTCAAGACCCCAGCAGCAACTGCTACTGGAAAACTGAAACTCAGAAACAAAACCCTAATTCTGTGGAGGCTTGACCTCAACATTTTAAAATAAAAAGGCCTCACAAGCTGCTTATTGGTTTTGCAGCAGACTGCTCACCACCTGTCTCAATCTTTATTCATTTGAAAACAAAAAAGCCAAAATACACCTCTTAAAGTCACAGTATCGTCACATTTGTCACACCTCCAGGGAAGATTGTTAAATGAGTTTCTATTTACACTTGTGGAAGTGATCATTGATAATCAATGGTTTCTTGTGATCCTTTTGGAGATGAGTAGACACATTTCTCCACCTGGATTATCGTAATTGAATCCACAAAGTCAGGAGACTTTTAAAGCCATGTTTAAAAACACCCTTGTTTCCATTTTTAAAACAAATTTCATTTGTTTGAAGATATATAATATTATAACCACATGCTTGTGGCATGACTGATTTTTGCCTTAATCCACAGCTCTCCCCCACTCCACTTCTTTTCACTGTTACTGGAGGGAACAAAAAGACAATTATAACTGCATTCAAATTCCCAATCATCTTGCATTTGGCTCTTCTCATCTAGACACTTCTGCAGCCATTGATTAGTTGACAAAAATCATTTTAACCCCCATCTATGTCTTAGACTCCAATAAAACCACTACACTTTTTGACACACATCTCTGCTCCCTTGAGTCCAAAAGTGGAAGACTTGAACATCTATGGCAAACAACTCTTAATTCATTGCCTGACTGGCTGGATCATTTGGAATACTATTATGAGACCTTGTCCACATCTGTTAAAGCTCTTAAATTGCAAGATCAACTTTAAAAGGAAAATATAGCCTCTAGCTTATTTTCCTCACTGCAAACTGGCTTCTTATAACCATTCTCCCTGTCTTATGATCATCTCCAAAAATTTACGTAGAGTGCATAGACTTGTCAGCAACAGGGAGACCTACCACTGGAGCTATTTCTGCCATTTCCCTCCTTAGCCCTTAGTCTCATCCAATGTTCCCACTGAGCTCCAGAACACCAACAATGTATGCATGCTTGAAAGCACCATGCAGGCTGTATTAAGTACCATTCCAGTTTGCAACACATCAATTTAAAAGCTTCAAAAATGCTTCTATAGCAAAGTCCTGCCAATTGTCTAGATTTCTCTTCCATTGAACTTTTGAGGCATATGCATTATTCCAATTCTGTCTCCTGCACATCCTAAAGTTAAAATTCATTCACCATTGGAATGTCGAAGTCTCTGTCTCCTCTCCTTTAAGATGCATTTTCTTCCACCAGGCTTTGGAATTTTCGTCCTCAAACCTTATGGTTTTGGAACACATTTTCTTTGTAAAAGCAGCCTTGAAATGTCTAATTACTTTAAAATGGTTCTTATACAAAATATTGTTTTGTTCTATCCATTGCTTGCATATGACAGTTTTGTAAAGAATTTTCAGATACAGCTATACAACAATAAAAACACTTAGGACATCAAAAGCAATCTGTGATGCAAAACATGCATGATCATAATTTTGATATCTAAGCAAACTGTCACAAGATGACTGTGTACTCATCTGGTTATTGCTGCAGCATTTTAGGAATTTCAGTAAACTGCATTCACATTAGAGTTTTGTGTACCTTGATAAACCACAACAGCTCTTCAACAATTCCTTTCCAGAACACTCGTTTTGTAGTGAGGAGGGGAAAAGAATCTAAAACACAAAAGTTAATAACTTTGTTAATGGCATGCAGAATAATTTAACTTTGTACTTAATAAATTCCTGTGTTGAGTTGAAGCAGCAAAGGTGCTTCCTGTACTACTTGCTGATCGCCAAATGGCTTCTAGGCTAATTTACTGGTTTAATTACTGCAACTTTCCACAATTAAAAGTGAGAAGGAAAACTAAGTGCACTTAGGGACAGGGGCATACCTTTTTTTTCTAGGCATTACGGCCAACAAAAATGCAAACTTTTAATTAGCAGCATATTTTAAGATTGCTTTTTAAATGCAGTTCATCTGACACAAGCACATCTAGTGTTGTTAGGAAGGAATGCCAGCTCTAGGACTGTGCACTAGAAGTAGACAAACCATAATTTCAATCATTATATATCAATTCAATACCAGTGGCACCATTTTCAACCTGAACACATTGGCTAACACCCTTCTTCTAAACCTCATACAAGCGGCCATGCGTTCAGCAGCAGGAACTGCAAAGACACTATTTATAGGATCATAATTAGGTTGTTTAGTTAATGTTTGATTTTTACATTTTATTAAACAAGTCCATAACTGTATGGCGGTTTACATTTTCTACAGATGGCTCAGATTGTGGGTTGCTGCATCTCGGGGATTAGGTGAACAAGACCAATGTTGAGTTACAGACAGACAGGGTCAAGTTGCTCAGAGGCCCACCACACACCAGAGCTGCAACTTGCAGTCTTGGACTTTTGAGCACTGTACTTTGCCCGACACCCTCTTGGCTAACTACACCAGCTTCATCCAGCCCGCACCCCTGCCATCCAACATGTCCCAGTCTGATCAGCGCAGTGTTCTGACCCCTCCTCTGCCAGCAGATACCTCACTGGTGGAGGAACCTGTTCCAGAGCAGCATCACAGTTACGACAACCACCACTCCCTCACACTGGAGCGCTCTCTCTCTAAGGTCACTATATCCAAACGGACAATTCATGGAAGGTCACCTGAGGGCATGACCACTCTAAACAGAAACTGCACGTCATAATTGAGGCCATGCACCTGTTGAAAGTAGAACGTCAGGCTTTCTAGGTTTGAGGGATTTATAAACGTACTGACCTTGATTGCTCCTAAGGTCTTTGAACTTTACACAGCACTACATTCGGATCCTCATTGCTGCACTTCTGGCATTGATTACCATAGTTATCTGCACCATGGTCCCACATCACTCCTGACAGTTTGTCTGGAAGGCCTAGAAAGGTTTGTCTGGACAGATTATCTCTTGTACTTTGCACCATCATGACAAATGGAGAAGTGGCAGAAATTATTCATGTCTATGCTTTTCCATGCTGCTCTATCATCCTTTTTTTATTTTGCACTCTCTCTCTCTCCCCTAAAACAATGTCCTGATTGACTGGATTGTGTTTTTCTACCCCCCCTCACTTCCCTGCCCCACCTTCCCCAAGTTCCAGTTCAACAGGAAACTCTATGTTAACTTAAAAATGATATGTACTGAGCAATATTCAACTTCACATAAATAAGTATAAGTATGAGATTAGGACAGAACTTTCATATGGCTCACTACTTGTATCATTTGCCAAAGGTTCATGGCTTCAAGCTCCACTCTGGAGACTTGACTTAACTTGACCGACAATCCAACTTACAAACGTAAAGCAACTGCACCTCAAAATGCAATCATTCAGATGAGATATAAAAGAGGTCCCACTTTTGTTCTCAGGTGGATTTAAAATAGGGTAGCATTTCCTGAACCAAAACCAAGGATAACAGGGTCAAAGGACTGCATTTACATCCACAAACACATATTTAGCCATGCTTAGACTTGTATTGACACCAGTCTCATTGAATGAGACAGATGTGCCAATCCGGTTTACCAAGTTGAGAAAGAGGCCATTTCATGCATCAACAGAGTCTAACGATGACCATCAAACCGTTGGTAATTGTCAGAAAAACACATCGGGTTCGTTAATGTCCTTTAAGGAAGGAAATCTGCCATCCTTACCCGGTATGGCCTACATGTGACTTCAGACCCAAAGCAATGTGATTGATTCTCAACTGCTCTGAGCGATAAATACTGACCTGGCCAGCAAGTCCACACCCAGCACATGAATATTAAGAAAACCCTCGACCTGACATGCATGTGAGGCTCACAATATGAGAACTGCCATTCTGGCTAACATTCAAACCAGCTGTTCCTTTAGTCACACCATTTTTTCCTCTCTCTTCTCTTCCCCCCACCCCCATAAACATTTCGATGATTACAGAATTGTTTTGGCGCAAACCACATTGCTTCGTCCTGCGAAAGAGTAGCGAATCTGTCAGCCAGCTGACCCTGTGTGTTCATTGCCTAAGGGAATGAAGGAGGTAAATTCAAACCTGGCATCCAAAAGGGAATTGGATCAATGTCTGAAAAGTAATCAAATGGCAGGGCATTGGTACTGAGTCAAATGCTTTTGCGGAGAGCCGACATAGACAGGACGGGCCGAAGAGTCTCCTTCTGGGTTGTAGCCATTCGGTGATTGTCTAAGGCTGAACCGTTTGGTTCGAATTCAACCAAGGGTTTACACGAATTACAAGTGGGACAAGTTGCGCTAATTCGAATAAATTGGCAGTTGACACATTCAGGTTAAAATTTCACGAACTCTAAAGGGACCTTGATATTAATTCCAGCGTTGCTCGAAAGGCGGGAAACATATCAACACTTCAGCAGCCGTTTACACTATTGTGGAACATTTCGCAGTTGCATTTCCCGAAATGCAGCGTTAACGAAATACACTTTAGAACTTTCTGCCGGAAGCGATATCGAAGACGGCGAGATTAATCGCCGCGATAGAAATACTGGAGTTGTCTCAAATTGTTTTCTTAATTGGCGCCACGTTTCCACTTTGGATCAGGACTCGCTCTCCGTAAATACCGTTTTCATGAAGGAAAGACCGCGGTGCCCAGGCCAGTATTCCCCAGCTGTTCACTCACCCCTCAGACTGTACCGAGACTGTAGCCCGAACACGGACAAGGTGCCTGTCCCGGTGCGATCATTCTTCTGGGAGCCTGTTTCCAGAATGTTCTGGATGTGCTGCAGGTACTGGTATTCCTCACTCTGCCCTCGCTCCATCACTATTCACGCGCCCAACCACCTCTTTTCTTCACTCACTTGTTCATTCACAAAGCCGCTCGCGGGAACCTCAGCCCGCGCGCGCCCTCGCTCCCCACTGTTTACTCGCCTGTGTGACGTCTCATCCAATCGGCCGCCGGCTTTGCCACGGACGTGAAGCGGGTGCTCTATGTTCCATTCTCGGTGTATTATTTTTAACAAGGTCTTTCATTTGTCAAAACGCTTTACAGTTCTTCATCATAAGACCATTCACCCATTCCAAGAACTAGTCTGGTAAATCTTATCTGAGCAGCTTCCAAGTATTTACATTCCTACTGTACACAGTACTCCACACCAAGTGATCAGTATAACTTCTCCACGTTCATCTTTAGTTTTCCTCACAATAAATGATAACGTCCTTTTCACTTTGCTAATTATTTGCTGTTCATACATGCTACCTGTTTGCAATTCACACATTAGGACGCCCATATCCCTCTACATCTTAGAACTCAAAAATTTCTTTTCTTCCTCCTGTCAAAATGAACAATTTCACATTTCCCCCATTGGACTCCATTTGCCAGATCTTCACTCAGTCACTTAAACTAACTGTATATTCTTGTAGCCTTCTTGTGCCCTCTTCACAATTTTCATTTTCTACCTACCTTTGTGTCATCAGCAAATTTGGCAACCATACCTTTTGTCCCTTCACTCAATTATAAAGTGTTATACCTGCAATTGCATGGGAAGATGCCGTACACTGGTGCGTGGAGGAAGTGATGAACCAGGGAACCTGAAAGGAACCAGTGTCGCCTCTAATTTTCTTTCATGCTGTGCGTGCCTCCAAGGCAATAACTTCTGAAATTGGAAGTCAATGTTGCAATCAGTGGGTTGCCACCAATTTTCTTGAGCAGGACCTTGGAACGGCTACGCAGCTAAGGGGGAACAGTCCCTGGAGAATGTAGATAGGAGGGAGATTGTTTGGTAGTAATGTACTTCCGGAGGTGGCAAAAATGATATAGGATGATCCTTTGACTATTGAGACTGGTGGTGTGGAAAATGAGGACAAGGGAACCATATCGTTTTCTGAGAGAGGGGAAGGGACGAGGGCAGAAATGGAGGAAATGTCTGACAAGTTGAGGGCGAGGAATCTTCAGTTGAAGAAAAGCCAGATCACATCAGAGGTACCCGAATGGAAGATGCCATAATCAAAACAGTACTACAGAGAGAGAGAAACTGGGTGAATGTAATGGAATCCTTACAGGAAGCAGAGTGTGAGGAGGTATAATTGAGGCAACTATAAGAATTCATAAAGGATATTGGTGGACAGTCTATCCCCAGAAATGAAAACTGAGATCAAGGAAGGGAAAGGAACAGTCAGAGAGGAAACACGTAAAGAATGGAAATTGGAAGCAAAATTAATTGATTGAATTTTTCTAATTCCAGACAAGAGTGGGAAGCCCTCTCACCAATGACCTCGTTGATATATTGGAGAAGGAGTTGTCGGTTGGGGCCCAGGTAGCATTGAAACAAGAAGTGTTCCACATACCCCACAAGACAGGCCATGCACATACCCATATAACTTTGACTTGATGAAAGTGAGATATATTAAATGAAAGTTTTTCAAAGTGGGAACAAGATCAATCAGGTGAAGGAGGCTGGTAGTGGAGGCCTCTTTCAAGCAAAAAACAGTTAAGATTTCATTTATTAATCTTGTGTTGTTATAAAAGACCAGGTTTAGTTTAAGAATGTGCTCTGAAAACATTCAATGAACTCCTCCTCATCTGGGTTACTGTTGTGCAGCATGTAACTTTTACATTCTATACGAGGAGTTAAAATCTCCCAAAATTATCACCAGGCCTTTCTTTCAAGTGCCCATTTTCCACCCTATCATGTGGTTACTGTTGGGGGGCCTGAACACAACTCTCACAAGTGAATTCGTGCATTTCTCATTTGTCGTATCTCCCAAACTGCTTCCACAGCCTAGTTTCCTGAACTTAGATCATCCCTCTGTATTGTGTGATACTGCTATTAACTCCACTATCTGAAGATCCACCTCAACATTGTGGGCTGATGTCATCACGCATACTAGGCTGGTGTCATGTGCACGGATGGATATTGACAACCAACTTGAATTGTATTGAGGCTGACTGATATTACAGGGGCCATCTGCACACGTCCAGCTGCCATTTAGCATTGGGAATACCTACCCTGTAACAGCTACTATTGTCTATGCCTGCAAGTTCTGATAGCCTTATAAACTGCTCCCAAACACTTAAATCTCTTCATTTCAGACTCTCTTTTGTACCCATTGGAAAGAGTCAAGACAGTTGGTCAGCAGTCCTGATTGCCTTTTATCAGAGGGTATGGGCACTGTCAGTCCAGGGCCTTGGACATGGTAAGTAAGCTACTCGGGGCAGTTAGAGTAAGGATCGTCTCTTTGAGTGCGAAGGTACTGAATGTCAGGCAGCCCACCAACTGTCTTGACTCTTTCTGCCTTATTTGGGGCTGTTTTCCTCCTGGAATGAAAAAGGCAAATATTAAGGAGATGAAAGTGGATGGCACAGCTGTTACTGTTGGTGGAGGTGGGCAAGCATCCTGAATGGGTGAGTAGGCAGTGCAGAGGGCATGGTGTCAGGGTTTGGAGTGGGTAACAACAAATGAGGAAGATGGTGCAGGCGGTTAGTGAGAGTGGTAGGGCATGAGCCTTTGTGGGAAATAAGTACAGTAACAAAAATACAGTGAGTGTGAGGTATCAGACGGTGGCACTTAGCCTGGCAGAGCTGCTTCCTGCACTGCAGGGCATTCCTCCAAACAACTGAGACTGACTGACCCAAATGCCCAGCTCAGCCCAAGCTGGCATGTTTTGGTATCTGTGGAAAGAGGACATCCTGTTTCTGCACCACCCTGTTCACCAGGACCTTCAGATCCCGCCAACAGTGTTACCCAACGTCCCCCTGCCTGCCATATCTGGGGCAAATGTTAGAGACCGTGCAGGGCAGCCCCAGACTGACAGTGTTTATCCAGATGTACATTGGCCTTTCAAAGATGGCATGGACACCAGGGATGCTGGTCTACTCAGGCATATTCCCGCAGTGGTGAGTTGTACAAGGTAGAGTGAGTGGTAGAATGGGGCTAGAATTGGACAAGCAGGGCATTGTGAGGGGGCTGGGTAGGAAGTTAATGAGATAGGTTTGATAAGGTCTAGTACAAAAAATCCACTAGGCCTCGTAAGAGGAACCCTCCACTAAACTAAACAGATACTATTGGAAAAAAAACATAAGATCCAGCACCATGCGTCTGATTTGAGTCAGAAACAGAAAATCTGGCACAAATTAGAAGATTTGGGCTGTTATCTTTTTACAAATTAAATTTTATTGCAGAGACTGCCATCTAATGGAGTAAAAGCAGAATTTGAAGAAATTGCTCAGAAACAGTAAGAAGTGCAGACATTGGAGTCAGAGATAATACGGTGTGGAGTTGGAGGAACACAGCAGGCCCAGCAGCATCAGAGGAGCAGGAAAGTTGACATTTCGGGTCAGGACCCTTCTTCAGAAATGGGGGAGGGGGAAGGGACCTCAGAAATAAATAGGGAGGAGGGGTGAGGCTGGGGAAGGTAGGTGGGTTGGTGATAGGTGAGTGCAGGTAGGGGTGGTGGGGATTGGTCAGTGAGGTGGGAGCAGCGGTTAGGTGGGAGAGAAGATGGATGGGTTGTGTTAGGTCAAGGAGGTGGGGATGCAGAGGGGGGTTGGTCATGGAATGAAGGTGGGGTTGGGGAGATTTTGAAATTGGTAAAATCCACATTTAGGCCATCGGGCTGTAGGCTCCCAAGGTGAAATATGAGGTGCTGCTCCTCCAGTTTCCAGGTGGTGTCATTGTGACATTGGAAGAGGCCCAGGATGGACATGTCACCCAGGGAGTGGGAGAGGGAGGTGAAATGGTTCGCGACCAGAAGAACGTTTGTCGCGAACAGAGTGCAGGTGCTCTACAAAGCAGTCTCTGAGCCTCCGCTTGGTCTCATCGATGTAGAGGAGGCCACATCGGGAGCAGCGGATGCAATAGACCACATTGACGGATGTGCAGGTGAACCTCTGTCTGATGTGGAAGGTTTGTTTGGTGCCTTGGATGGAAGTGAGGTGGGGAGGTTTAGGGGCAGGTGTAGCACTTCCTGCGGTTGCAGGGAAAGGTGCCGGGAGTGGTGGGCCTAGTGGGGAGTGTGGAGTGGATGAGGAAGTCACGGAGAGAGCAGTCCCTACGAAAGACAGATAGGGGCAGGGTGGGAAATATATCTTTGGTGTGGGGTCAAATTGTAAGTGGCGGAGAATGATACGTTGGATACGGAGGTTAGTGGGGTGATATGTGAGGATGGGGGGGATTCAGTCTTTGTTTTTGTTGGGGGGAGGGGATGCGGGATGAGGGCAGAGGTGCGGGAAACACAAGAGATGGGGTCGAGAGCATTTTCGAACACCGAAGGGGGGAAGTTGCAGTCCTTGAAATAAGAGGACATCTGGGAAGTTTGGGAGTGGAGCGCCCCATCTTGGGGGCGGAAGCGGAGGAATTGGGAGTAGGGGATCGCATTCTTGCAGGAAGGTGGGTGAGAGGAGGTGTAGTCTAGGTAGCTGTGGGAGTCGTGGGCTTGAAATAGATGTCAGTTTTGGAGATCGAGACAGAGGTTCAGGAAGGAGAGGGAGGTATCAGAGATGATCCAGGTGAACTTGAGTTTGAGGTGAAAGGTGTTAGTAAAGTTGACGAACTGTTCACGCTCCTCGTGGGAGCACGAGGCAGCATTGATACAGTCATCGATGTAGCGGAGGAAGAGGTGGGGAATGGTGGGAGTGTAGCAGCGGAAGAGAGACTGTTCCACGTATCCTATGAAGAGGCAAGCATAACTTGGGCCCATACGGGTTCCTATGGCCACCCCCTTAGTCTATAGGAAGTGGGAGTTTGTACTGAGAAAGGCGATGTGGCTGTAGTACCTGGTTTGCTTGAGTATGTGTTTGAAGAGTTTCAGGGCCAAAGAGATTACCATGGGTTGTAGTGGGAGAGAGATCCACTGATCCCTTTCCAGAGGAAGGAGGATAACTTCCTCAAGGTGGGCATCCTTAGAAGAGGCTTCGCAGTGTAGTTATAACTCACTCAGAGAT